CAATGTAATTAGCAATTCATTTAATTTTATTTTTGAACAGATTTGTTACGTGACAGCATTATTTAAAGTTTCTTAAGGGTCAAGATCATGTTATCTGCATCTCCTGCGCTCCATCAAGCCACTCCCATTATATATGTCACCACTCAAATTAATGCATGACTCTACATTATCTGTATAGCATGTGTGTAAGACTCGAATACAATTATGAAGTAATAAATTTCTCAAGAATAAATCTTTCAGAGAGTAAAACTGGCTGTGTCTATAGTATTAAAGACTACACAACATTATTATATTATCTTTAAATACATTTTTAAATGATTATTATTTTAAATTATTGTCCCAGGATTAGTAGGGTACTCTTGTAATAAAGTAGCGTTGGTAACAGACAGATTTTAAGTATCAATTCTGCTTAAAAAGATGCCATCTAATCCTGTTTACATGAAATAAGCCTGCTCCCGAGCAGGTTTAAGCTTACGGACCTGTTGCTATGACAGCAACTCCGGGATGAGCTTCGAAGAACCAAACTATCCAAGATCATGCCAAATCGTCAACAATCAAATCCAGCTAACTGAGTTAGCGACGTACGAAGAACGGGCCCCTGGAGAGGTTGGTTGTTTACATTATTTCTTTCTCTAGATCTTAAAGGGCAGATTGATTCCCTGGCTCGTGAATACACAGCCAACGCTCGGACGTTGTCCTCTGAACAGAAGCTCTCACTGTTAAGACAGATCCAGCAGTCTTATGGAAAGTGTAAAGAGTTTGGAGATGACAAGGTCCAGCTTGCGATGCAAACCTATGAGATGGTTAGTGTGAATTTGCATTTGCTTCTTACAAATTAGCTTTTATAACTACTGCAAATTCTGTTGGTATATTACATTTAAATGTAAAGGTACCCTACTGTTTAAAAGTGTGGAGTCAGAAAGAATTTTTAAAAGAAATTAATACTTTCATTCATCAAATAGTATTAAAATATTAAGTAGCACAACTGTTATGAACATTGATAATAATAAGAAAAGTTTCTTGAGCAGCATATTAGAATGATTTCTGAAAGATCATGTGATACTGAAGACTGGATTACTGCTGCTGAAAATTCAGCTTTGTTAGCACAGGAAAAAAAATAATTTTAAAATATATTGCTATTGAAAACACTAATTTTGAATTGTAGTAATATTTCATAATATTAATGATTTTGCTCTTAATGATGCAGTCTTGGTGAGCAAATGAGATTTCAATCAAAAACATATTCGCGGTTCAAGCCTATGAATAGTAGTATATCTTAAATATATTGTAAAATATGTATTTGTAATGTACATTTAGTTGCTTTATAACTAAATACAATGGATCACACTTCATTTAGGTGGACAAGCATATCCGAAGGTTGGATACAGACCTGGCTCGCTTTGAGGCCGACCTCAAGGAGAAACAGATAGAAAGCACCGATTATGACTCTACCTCCAGCAAGGGCAACAAGAGTGAGTGTTGTGCTTTTGATAGCTTCCTATGACTATTAGTGCTGTTTTGGCACATGCACATCTCTTATGTGGATCTCTATACATACAACACAGTCTCTGATGGTCGTTTATTGTTGTTTGAAGGTGACCATCGAGGACCCAAGAAGAAGGAGGTGACTCGCACTAAGTCAAAGGTGAAGAGCTCTGACGATGACTGCAGCTCAAAGAGCGGACAGAAGAAGGTCAAACTCACACAAAGGTGAGAATCACACATATTTTCTATTATAATTCTCTTTTTGTTTGTAAAGTGTCATTTTTGTGCTGCTCGTGGCACCAGAATTGCAGTAAAAGCTGGTTTGTCTTTGTAATTCAACTTTTCAGCTTTGTATTCTTCATACATATACTATATACATACTGTTCAAATGGTTCGATTTTTAAAGAAATCCTTTTTTCAGATAAGAATGCATTAAGTTGATCAAAAGTGACAGTAAAGGCGTTACAAAATATTTCTATTTCAAATAAATGTTGTTCTTTTGAACTTTCTATTTATTAAAAAAAAAACATAGCGTGGTTTTCAGAAAATATTAAGCAGAACTCTTTTCAACATTGATAATAATAAGAAATGTTTCTTGAGCTGCAAATCAGCATATTAGAACTATTTCTGAAGGATCGTGTGACACTGAAGACTGGAGTAATGATGCTGAAAATTCAGCTTTCCTATCACAGGAATAAATTACATTTTTAAAATATATTAAAATAGTTGTTTTAAATTGTAATGATATTTCAAAATAGTACTGTTTTATTGTGTTTTTGATCAAATAAATGCAGCCTTGGTGATCATAAGAGACTTGTTTCAAAAATATTTTTTTTTAATCTTATACGATAGTGCATGTGGCGTTGCTGTGGAACATGCAGTGTGTCTGGACAAAAGGGGGATTTTTGGTTTTGCATGTGATGTCTTTAAGCTTCACGAACATTTTTGTGAGCAGTTAGAAGGAAAAAGGAACAGGATGGAGGTTGCAGACTGCCATCTGTTGTCCCCAATTTAGTTCTCAACTTTTTATGGTCAGTAGAGACTCTCCTGTTAGTTCTGAATGAGTTACTCTAATCCTCATTCCAGCTTCTCCAAAAACAAGTCAAAGCACACACACACACACATGCTCACACACACAAGTTTGTTTGACATTCTCTATTGTGGAGAGAGACAATATTCTAACAACCATATCTCATACCATTCCATGAATGTTTGAAGGATTTATGGCTTTTTCTCAAAAGCAAACAGTTTTAACATTTCCTCATTTCTCATGTTAAACAAAGTGTTGTGTGTCTTAAAGGAGTGCCCTGGCCGACAGGCCGATTGTTAGCCATGCTGCGACAGCAAGAACCCACAGTCAGCACCCTGCATCTGGTGGCTAATGATATGACAGATATCATGGAGAACTTGGACACACGAGAACTCGACATTGGAGATGGGGAAGAAGAGTTTGACGGCCAGGACCCCAATAGGGCAGGTAAAAGAAACAAATAACAGCATAAAATCACTAAATAATCCAAATAAAACTTTAAAAAAAATAACATTAAATGCTACCATTTGGGGTCAGTTTGGAGCAGCAAATCAGCATATTAGAACTATTTCTGAAGGATCGTGTGACACTGAAGACTGGAGTAATGATGCTGAAAATTCAGCTTTCCTATCACAGAAATAAATTACATTTTTAAAATATATTAAAATAGAAAATAGTTGTTTTAAATTGTAATGATATTTCAAAATAGTACTGTTTTATTGTGTTTTTGATCAAATAAATGCAGCCTTGGTGATCATAAGAGACTTGTTTCAAAAATATTTTTTTTTAATCTTATACGATAGTGCATGTGCCACAGGCAGCTTAAGTTTTGTTTTATTTTTCATCTTTTAGTAGAGATTTCTTTAGGCTGTAAATGCAATGCGTTTGTGATGTTGAGTAGATTTCAAAGTAGAGGGGAACTGGAGCCTCCAAGCATGTACATAAATATTTAAGAAGTTGTTTTGAAATAAATTTTTAATCTTTAGAAAAACCAAATGGTTAGCTGTTTGCCCTACAGTCCGGGCTACATCATTTCTTTTCGCCTTTCTAACCGTTTCTGTCAATAAAAGAGGCAAAATGCCCCAAAATAAAATAAATACATTCCAAAATCTAATCAAATTTTCTTCCAGCTCTGAGTTTTCAACCCCGACTGTGAACTTTGGGAACGTGCACCCCTCGGATGTGTTGGACATGCCAGTGGACCCCAATGAGCCCACCTATTGCCTCTGCCACCAGGTTTCATACGGGGAGATGATTGGCTGTGACAATACAGACGTGAGTCTCCTTTCTCATTTCATGCAGTGTGACCAGAAGTCAACAAGTTCACAGCCTCTCATACATTATTGCTTACATATAGATAGATATTAATTTTATTATTTGATTATATTTATTTACCCATTACAAGTTAAAATGGAGGTTAAGTATCTAGTCATATGCTGAAAACTCCATTCCCAGACTGCAGCAGTATATTACAGCAGATTCCTGTATATTTATCTTCAGAGCTGTGCTTGTGGTAAGTGTGTGTGTTTCTCTTTCTTTAGTGTTCTATCGAGTGGTTCCACTTTGCCTGTGTGGGTCTGACCACCAAGCCCAGGGGGAAATGGTTAGTAGTCATGTGATTTTTGCCCTTGAAACTGATGCAAGTCAATGCTTAGACATCAGTGCCGAAATAGAAAATTTAGTCTGAAGTAACTCACTAAATATAGCAAAAAATAATATCGGTTTTAGTGAATATACATCTATATTTCAACATTTGCCTTGTTTTCATTCTACATCAGGTACTGCCCAAGATGTTCACAGGAGCGGAAGAAAAAATGAACATGCAAAACAAGAGAATTCACAGAGAGGGAGGTCGAGGCAGACACAAGGGTTGAAAGTGTTTTAAGGCCCTCCATAGACACTAATATAGATCCACGCTCCGCTTAATCTGGTGCTTGTCGTCCTCTTTTCCATCTTCACATCCCTCTCTCAGCCAGACAGTAAGAAGGGATGATGTGTGAAGATGAAGGAGGTGTAGTTTTTAATTTATGTGCTCAGTAATGAAGATGACTTTTGTTATGGAGTATTTTTGATTAGTTTTTTTTATATTCTTATATTTTCAATTTGTTTATTTGGATTGTCTTTTTTTACAGCTCATTTTAAACATGCCGTATGGGAGCATATCAGGGGATCTCACGGTTCTTTCTTTCACTTGTGAATCCAGGTGGTCTCAGACTGGATAATTGCTGTCAGTATCCTTCTCAGATGGGATCATTTCCTGCTAGTCTCAGTTTTTGCCTTTTAACAGACAAAAAAGTGGAACAGGTCCCAGATCAGACTTGAAACTGATCCCTTATCTAACTTATTTTCTCATTTCAATGTTCATAAAAGGGCAACAGTTATCATCTTACCTCACCAAATCTGAGATGTTTATTTGACAAACCAGCAATTACAAGAAAATAGCTGCTCAATGGGATTATTTAACTAGATTTTTACACCTACTCAGCCTTTGCACTCACTCATTCACAAATCCTGCACTTGAAGACCACCACTTCACTTCAGGTCCATTCCACAACTTTAAATTTCAATGCTGACATTTTTTGGTGCTTATGGTTACACACTACTTGGATCTATTAAATCGGTCGTATAATCCAGACCGTTGAACAGCATTAACTCCGCATGTAACGTTATTCATTTGAATTGCTCTGACACCTGGTCATTAAATGCATTTGGTGTTTTCTTTTGTAACCTATGAATTAACTCTAGTATTGCTGTGAGCTCAGCAACAGGGTTCTTTGCGACTGGATTTTGGTGCTTATGAATATATATTAAAGTAATGATGTGTATGGTTTGGTGCTACACAGTGCTTGTTGCCGGTTCTAAATTATTCTATTGTCTAGTGTACGATGAAGGGATTGTGTCATGTGTTTTTTGCCTTTGTCATGTTGCTTTGTGATTTGACTGTTCCAGATAGTAGAGTACTTTACTAATGTCAGATATTGGGTCTGGTGTCTTCCATGCTGAATGAACAATGCCTGATTCTGAAAGCGTCATTTTGTCTGTTGGTCATTATTTCATTCATTCTGGCATTTTTGAATGCTGTTGTCAGAAAAGTGTCATGCACATAGTGTGAAATATTTCAAGTCATCTTAGAATTAGAAATAATAATACAGCATTATTAATAATAATATAATAATTTAATATATGGAAGTCAAATTTGATAAGCTGAAAAAGTGAGGAAAACCGTATAACTATTTATAAATAATATTATATGTACTTTATATATATATTTATGTGAAAAGCTGAATTTTCAGCATAATTACTCCAGTCTTCAGAGTCACATGATCCTTCAGAAATCACTCTAATATACTGATTTACTGATTTTTATTATTATATTTGTGGAAAACGTGATACATTTCTTAAGTTCTTAAAGAATGACATGATTCTTTGATGAATAGAAAGTAAAAAAAATAGAACTCTTTTGCAACATTATAAATATCTTTCATTTTGATTTAATGCATCCTTGCTGAATAAAAGTATCTCTTGACTTGCAAAAAAAAAAAAAAAACCGGTATCATGGCATGGCCACTGAATTATTTAAAAAGGCATTGCACTGTAAAGTCCACGACAGTGTCATACTGCATTGCAGTTCTCATTCAAACCGCTGGAAGCACCCTATCACTTGTAAGAGATCCACTTTGTGCAATGCTGCAGTGATGCTGCCCTATACACCTTATGGTTCTGATGCTTCTTCAGTGCCTCCGTGGACTTAATTGTAAATCTTTTAAATAGCACATACTGTTGAAAATTATATATTATATATAAATATGTTCCTACATTTGGAAACAGACTGCATGACAGCATGAACCGCTAGAATGCACCTTCACTGGCATACACATAGGAGGTGTGGCTGCCTGACAGCATCATTAGTTCTTACTGCCGTCTAGTGACACTGAAGGGAATTGCGTTATAATTATTAACTGCAAAAGTTTGGGTGTACTGACAACCTTTTGAACTGCATCACTTTAACTAGAATTAAATGATTTCTGTCTCTTCACAGGGAAAGTTATGTACTTTCATATAGTTTTTAAAAACGTTTGCTTGCTGCGTGCATTAGACACGTTGATCTTCAGTGAGGAAGTGTGCTGGACTGTGCGTTTCTCATTGAGCTTTGCAGATAAGCAAGATGCCAGGCAGAACATCATTCTAGCCTCATGGGGACTGCCGAGGCTTTGGGCAAAGTTATCTCAGACCTCAGTGAGTATATGGGCACTTATAACAATGCTGTGTAAATGGAATCAGTACAATTTAATGGACAAACTTTCTTCAGAGGAATGTTTATGACTGCACTTCACTCCTTTATATAGACAGACAGATAGATCCACTAGTGATGGCAAAGCTGAATTTTCAGTGTCACATGATCCTTCAGAAATCAGTCTAATATGCTGATTTGTTGCTCCAGAAACATTTATTATGAATGTTGAAAACAGCTGTGCTGCTTAATATTTTTGTCTGGTGTAAGTAAGCATTTTTTTCTTATAAAAGAAAGAAAAACAGTAAAGACATTTACAATGCTACAAAAGAGTTCAATGTCAAATAAAAGCTGTTTATTGAACTTTCTGTTCATCAAAGAATCCTGAAAAAAATATATCATGATTCACACAAAAATATTAAGCAGCAAAAACTGTTTTCAGCACTAATAATAATAATAAGAACCATTATTAATAATTGAACACTAATTATCAGTGATAATAATTGAGCAGCGAATCAGCATATTTGAATGATTTCTGAAGGATCATGTGACACTGAAGACTGGAGTAATAATGCTGAAAATTCAGCTTTACCATCACAGGAATAAATTACATTTTAAATATATTAAAATAGTAAACAGTTATTTTAAATTGTAATAATATTTCACAATATTGTTGTAAATAGATGTATCACATCCACTGAATCATGCTGTAGTGACTGAAATTAATTTATGTTTCATGTATGGATATAGTTGAAAACGTACTCTGGTCAACCAACAGACATTATTGTCTTGTGATCGCATTCGGCAAGTGCTATTCACTTTCCATTATAATGATTATACATGTTTAACTTCTAATTGTTTGCTTAAATATAATCTGACACTTGGTTATCTTGGTATTTCACATCTCAGTGCCTTAAGTGTCTTGTCACGGAGCTGCCAGTGGACTTGCAAGAGCCTGTAATCATCCCTTCATCTCCCCTCTTATAATCTCAGCTCACTTTCCACAGCATGTCATTATGTGTAGCACTAGCTGTGATGAGTCACTGTGGACAGTCACTCTATCTATTTTCTATCACAGAGCACACTGAAGACAATAACTTCATTCTTTTGTTTTGTCCTAAGAGCAAAAATATGGCTTTCGGTAACTTTATTGTGTTAATACTGCTGTTATTTACCGACCGAGCTCTCTTTACACTAAGATGAGTGTGAGGAGGTTAAGAAGGTAAGGAAACCAGCTGTCGCTCCATGAAGTCAGTAGCAGATTGGCCATCTGGAGCACTGAGAGAATTCCCAGTGGGCCGATCCACCTGTAAACTGTGCCCCCAATAAATAGAAAAAAATATGTATTACATGTGTTTCATATTTAAAGCTCACCAAGGCCGTTTGACTTGGTTGGCTAAATTAGTAATGTGATTTCTTTTTTTGTGAATGATATTCTTTCAATGGTTAATTTTCACAGAGACTGTACAAACGAAAGAGTCCAAAATAAAATAAAGCGGACTTTTTTTTTTTACCAGTCTATTCTGATTTTATGTTTTTAAAAATAAAGCTCTGTTTACTCATTATTGTGATGTCATGTTGAAGATATTAATGAGGGTGAGTTGCAGTGTCACACAATGAAGTCCTCTGTTTGCATTTGTCTGAGTCCTGCTTGTTCTTCCATTCAGCTGTAAAGCACTTTGTAAACAGTGTTTTGAAAGGTACTGTATAAATATAGGCTAGCTTTACTGTCTAGAGATAATTAACGTGATGTGAGACATATGCTTTGGTAGCCTATATTGTAAAAATAGAACTTTCTCACTGCAATAGAAACACATGGCTTATACACAAGTCTTGCTTTATATTATAATAAAGATTTAGATAGATTAAACTGAGAGTTTGTAGCTTTACCCTTGCCTTGTCATAAACAGAGTTTCGGTTTTAAACTATGAAAATCCATTCCAAGTAATTTCTCTCAAGCATTAATGGACTTATACAAAGGAGACAAAAAGGGTAACTGTGTTTTAAAACAATTAAACTACTAAATTTCTAAATGTTCTGCGTTTCGAAAGCGTCTACAGATGAAGAAACCCGTATATTTTATTATCTAAATGTCATATTCATACATGTAAAAATTAAATAAAACGAAATTAAACGTTGCTTTGACTAACTGTAAAAACGTACGATTCCTTTAGTATTCTTATTTAGATGTACAAAAAATAAAATAATAGTATTACTGCTCAGATTTCGCGATTTGCATCACGCTGCTGTTGCCAATTACAGTCAGTGACGTAAAGGTACACCTTCACTACCGTAAATCCCAGAAACACAAACGCACAATAAACATGCAGAACTTAAATTTTGCACAATAAAATATAACGTAACGCAATACCTGGCGTTAAATGTCTTATTTCACAGCATCAATTAAACAAGACACGTTGAAGTCTGCTCAAATAAGCAAGCTGTGGCGATGTGCGAGATTGAGGCGCTTCTACTAACCAATCACGGTATGAAGGAGCCGCAGTTGCTCCTCTCATGTTTATCTCTGCTCTGGAGCTTGGCTGATCCCCTACGAAGACGCGTTCAATCTTCTCTAAGAAAATAAACCACGTCTGGTAAGGTAATGTTATAGCAAATGGCATGCAAATACGCGTAACATTATAGTCTGTCACAGTCATAATCAAAGGCTTGAGTTTGAGCGGATTCATTCATTTGGTCCCACTGAATCGGACAAGTGTTCCTTCAGTTTATTCACTTCAGAGGATCGGCTTCAAAGACACGCAGTTAAATCAGTGTTCATGCCGGACTTTGAGCATTTCAGATTTTCCTACTCCAGAATGAATCCTGTGTTGGGGGAGAACGTGTATCCGTTCCAGCAGAATCAGGTGACGGGCTTCGCGGACTCCGCGTCGTCGGGCCACTGGACCGATCCAGCGGGCCTTTTTTTAAGCGAACACACGAGTGGCATCGGGCACCGCCCCTCTCCTCAGCGGTATGTGCTCCGGTTGTATTGTAAACAAAGGTGTTGTTAATATCGCGTATCAGTTTGAGCCCGAATGAGAAGCAGAGTTTTTTGTTTTTTGTTTGTTGTTGTCTCATACATTTAGATACGCTGTTATTTGTAAATGCTACTGCTTATGT